ACTTTGGGCGGATCATGAGGTCAGGAGTTCAAGACCAGCCTGGCCAACATGGTGAAACCTTGTATCCACTAAAAATACAAAAATTAGCCCCGCATGGTGGCGCATGTCTGTAATCCTAGCTATTGGGGAGGCTGAGGCAGGAGAATTGCTTGAACCCGGGAGAATGAGGTTGCAGTTAACCGAGATCGTGCCATTGCACTCCAGCCTGGTCGAAAGGAGCAAGACTGTCTCAAATAATAATAATAATAATAATAATAATAATAATAATAATAATAATAGAACTCTAAACACTGGATGGATATTTGGTTATTTTGAAGAAGTATATATCTTTTTACATGTGATAGTGAAAATTTTTAAGTGAATATCTTTTAGACACATATACCAAAATATTTATAAATAAAATGTAATTTCCAGAACTCACTTCAAAATAATCTAGAAGTAGAGGGAAAAGGAAGGTGTCATGGAAGGAAGTGAATGGAAGTATAGAGGAAACCAGATTGACCCTGAGTTGATAACTACTGCAACTAGATGACAGATACTTGGGTGTTTGTTATATTATTCTACTCTTGTATAAGGTTGAAATCTGTCATAATAAAAAGTTAAGATTTTATCTAAAGGTAGACCTTCATTGAAATGAATCAACTTCAACATCTCTCTTCAACCACTAATACAGGTAATCTCCACTTCAGAGCAACATAAACAGGAGACATAAAACGAGACAAAAGACTGAAAGTAACTGGAAAACAACACAGCACACATAATCACCCCCAAACACAACCACCATCACCAACCAGATGTGCCCACAGATACTGCAAATTTCCATTAAATGTTGGCATACAGATTCTTACTATTAGAAAACATTTGTGAATTATAGATAACAATCTTGAGGCATTTTGAAGAACCATAATGTATAGTTTCAAATTTTAATGTCTGAAAAGTGAGGTATTGTATTTTGATGTATGTCTACACCAGAAAATAACAGAGATTTTAAATTAAATTTTGTCTCTTACAGGGAAAGGTAGGATAATATTGTTACAATAAATTGGTACTTTAGAAACCTAAGGAAATGATCCATATTTCAAGGGAGTTCAGCATAGACTTTCACCAAGTTCCACCAAGTTGCCATTTTGTGACATGTATGAGTTCACCATGTTATAGTCATTCCCCCGCCAAAACAAGTATTTTCTTTAAATACATCGATCATAAAGTATTCTGGCTATTAATAACTATCCATGGGCCAGGCGCGGTGGCTCACGCCTATAATCCCAGCACTTTGGGAGGCTGAGGCAGGCAGATCACAAGGTCAGGAGATCGAGACCTTCCTGGCTAACACGGTGAAACCCCATCTCTACTCTCTACTAAAAAACAGAAAAAATTAGCCAGGAGTGGTGGCTGGCGCTTGTAGTCCCAGCTACTTGGGAGGCTGAGGCAGGAGAATGGCCTGAACCCGGGAGGCTGAGCTTGCAGTGAGCCGACAGTGAGCCACTGCACTCTAGCCTGGGTGACAGAACGAGACTCTTTCTCACAAAAACAAAAATAAAAAAACTATCCATTGAATGCTTAAGTGTCAGTTACTCTGCTAAATATCATTGCTTGATTTAATCCTTTTAAATCAAGGTTATACCCCAATGGTAGATATAATCCTCACATTACAAATTAAGAAACTAAGGCTGCAAGTAAATTGCCCCAGATGAAATAATAAACATATTGATTCCTACTGGTTAACAATAGGTCAGTTTTTATCAAATGCTTGGCAATATGTGAACGTTTATACACGTTATTTCAAACCTCTCAAAATTATGAGACAGTCATTTAACCAGGAGGGCATTCTCATCCTAAGTTTCAAGGAATTTGCTAAAAGGTCATGTGTAATAATGGGAGAGCAAGGATTTGAACACTGATCTGACTCCAAAGCTCATGTCTTTAGCCGGTACATTTAACATCCTCCTAAACTAGCTTCCTGTACAGGTATTCCCATATTTTTAATATGCACCAACAGAATTGGATACATACTCTGGCTGTGGTTTGTTGAGACTATTACTTCTGATCTTCATAGATTTTAATATTAACATTATGATTCTGCATTGGCACCTTATATTGGTTCATATTAAGGCTTAGACACTCTAGTATTCCATAACACCAGGATCTATTTCCAGAATGTTCTGCCAAATTTAGACCTTAAAGGTAAAATTTCAGCTTCAAATGATGGTGTACTCAAGATTCTCAATTGCATCAGCTGAATGCTATTTTACATCATCTAAAGTTTGATAAAACATTTTTTTTGCATCTTTATTATTGCTGATGAAATCACTGTTTACATTATAGAGGAAATTGTTATGTTAAATAGAACCTTGAAATACCAAAGATTTCCTTCAACATCACCATGAAGTATTAATGGAACAATCCTTGTGTCAAATGCCTTGTACAGACTGGGCATGGTGGCTAATTTCTGTAATCCCAGCACTTTGGGAGGCTGAGGTAAGAGGATCAGCTGAGGTCAGGAGTTCGAGAACAGCCTGGTCAACATGGTGAAACCCCCTCTACTAAAAATAAAAATTAGCTGGGCGTGATGGTGTACCTGTAATCTCAGCTGCTTGGGAAGCTAAGACAGGAGAATCACTTGAACACAGGAGGCAGTGGTTGTAGTGAGCTAAGATTGTGCCACCACACTACAGCCTGGGCAAGAGAGCAAGACTCCGTCTCAAAAAGAAAAAAAAATTGCCTTGTACAAACAAAGTCTATGCCTTTCCTTCTGTTCATGAACCATCATTCATTTACAGACTAGTAATTCTTCTTATACATATATTAATAACTTCATTTATTGTCTCCCAATATTTAATTCATTTTTCCATGATTAAGTCTTAGTAAACTTCTGATGGTTTAAGAACACCATTTATAAACCATTTTAAGAACTCTGCACATTTTTAAAATTAATTATCTTTATCAAAAGGTTTTTTCTTAAACTTTGTTCTTTGATATTAATTTGGATTCAGTTGAGCAGTCCTTAATATTTCGTATTAAACCAAGTAACTTCAAATACAAGAAAATATTTTAGAAATATGCACTAGAAAAGGTGCGCCATAATAGAAAACTAGATATAAAAGCATAGTCTAAACTCTTCAGGATTTAAAGACTCATTATCCTATGGTGCTAATAACTAGAATAGGGGGTAGGGAACTTGAACTTAGCATGCTAGAAAATCTTATGATGGGTTTTATAGCTGAAATTGTCTTCTATAAATCAGTTTGTACAGTGTTCATGCCATTTTGTCTTTGTTTTTGCCCATTAAACATGAAAAACTTAGGCTACAAAGGGTCAACACACAAGCTTTTGAAATAGTTAAAAACAGCACTATTTTATATAGTAGGTAGACAGAAAGTACAGGCAAACTGAAAAATCTAATTGATACACTGATTTTTTTTTTCCAGCAAGCTTTATTAATCCATCATGGATCTACTCATGTTTGCAGCAGATACCATGATTTCATTACCAGTGAAGGGAGAAAAAAAAAAAAAAAAAGAAAATAGCCTTTGATGCCTGTCACATCTAAGCAGATCTAAACTACTATGGGACTAAACAGCCTAGCTGGTCAGTTGTTATTTCACATCTAATTAAAAGCTTCAGCAAAAGTGGAAATACATTAAAATTCAAAATCTAATACTGTTCTCCTAGTGCCTCAAGTAGTTTATTGGTAGTAATTATCCACATTTCTATAAACATTCTAAGTGACCATCACTAGTGCAGGAATATTTAACATATGAAGTCTCCACATGAAGCTACTTCATTCATTTTGTGTGACACAAGAATCAAGGTTCCAAACACTCAGTTATGCCACTAAAAAACAAAACAAAACAAAAAACAAAGCCAAAACAAATCCTGCTAGCAAAATGCATTTCTTTCAGTGATTTTTCAGAACCAACAGCTGTTGCTTTAGACATAAAAAATAAGCTGATTTAGTAATATATGGTCACTGGAAGTAAGTCTCTATCTGTAGATAAGAATTAGATAAAGGTCTTTCCTCCTTATAGAGCTTTTTATCCAATGTAAACAGCACCACTGAATTTTCATAAAACAGGTTTGTTACTTTCCCCTCATTTTCTATAATTGTAATTCTTACCTGCCATACTGTTACCATTTCTTCCTCTCTATAATCAGGACTGGACAGCCCATGTAATACTGTTCAATTTGTAAACAAAAAATTAAAGCTCAGAACACATACAGGGTATCTTTTACATTTTCATTCTACAGCGCATCTTTTACATTTTCATTCTACAGCGCATCAGGTATATTTATAAAGCTTTTGCTCTTCCCAACACACTACAAAAATATATAAAAACCACATTTGTTTTCAGCCAGCAAATATTAATAAAACAAATATCTCATAACTGGAATATTTTAGAGACCACATATTTTAATTACATCCTCTTGACTAAATCATTAATTTCCTTCTTCATAAATCCATATATGTATCCAGTGCATATTTATTAGTTTACATGCCCATATTTACTATGAATGAGTCCATTATTTTAGGTTCTTCAAGAGAAAGTGCTTCTGACAACAAACTATTTCTATAGTAGCCCTAAATCCCCCAAAAAGTTGTTTTAAACCTGTGTAGAACGATGCATAGCTATTTCTAAAAAGTAAGACTACACACCAAAACATGCTTTGTCAGGAAAACTAATCCATGCACTTGAATACACCCCAAATATCTTATTTTTATTAAAGGCAGACCAACTTAAACATTGTCTAGAATTAAGCTATACCATTAAATTACTTGATTCCAGAAAGCGTCAAAAATCATTTGGCCAAAACTTAAAAAATACTCCTTGTTCCTTACTTCAAAAAAGGACTGGTTGGACCAATGTGATCAGTATAACTGCATATATGTTAATCTACCTTAACATTTCCATCGATTAGCACTTGATCATTACAAAGCCTTGTATGCAGTTTTCTTGCAAAGGCTTCCCCCACAAAAAGATGTAAGCACAAAACACTAGGCAGACACTCTTGAAAGTTTTATTTCACTAACTTCAGGCCAAATTTCCACAACTGTGTTCTGGTCAATTTCCTATCCTTGCTTGGCTTCCCCAAATGCTAGTACCAAAAGATTTGTGGGGTAGGGAGAAGAGACCACTTTAAGAAGCACTGCATTTACTCATCTTCCACAAGGCAACAGAGTTGGGCATCTGATTGTTCAACAAAACAAGCTTTAATAGCATCCAGGAGGGCAGACAGGCAAACCAGGTTGTAGACACTCTTCTATTTGTCAAAATCAGACCAGAGAAAACCTACTCCACACAGATATAATAGGTATTGATATTCATCTTTTCTTTTTCTGTTGCCGCAACATTTTTCTTCTTTTAATGATCATATCATGTAGTTTCTCAAGTCCTTCCTTTAGGCCATCTCCTATGATTGCACAGGTAGGCTGCAAATGCCAAGGAGTTGATGAGCTCAGTTCACCCATTGCTAACAATTTCTCAATTTCTGAAAGAGACAATGAGTTCCTCAAGTCTTGTTTGTTAGCAACTATAAGTACAGGGACTCCTTGATTTTCTGATATCCTAGTTATTTTGTGAAGTTCAGTTTTGGCTTCCTCCATCCTTTCGACATCAACAGAGTCCACAACAAATACAATGCCATCTGTGCATCTGGTATATGACTTCCACAGTGGCCTTAACTTCTCCTGACCACCTACATCCCAGAAGTGAAACGTGACTGTTTTAGAATTTCCCAAGGTTACCTTAATTTTCTCAGTGTTAAATCCTTTGGTAGGTACGGTATTTACAAATTCATTGAACTGCAGCCTGTATAAGACAGTTGTCTTTCCAGCACAGTCCAAACCCAGAATAACAATGTGGAAGGACTGAAATGAAGGCAGGTTGGACAGGATAGAAGTCTGGTCTGACAGCCCATTCCCCATTTCCAGGTGCAAATAAATGTCCCAAATTGAAGTGCTTTTCTCTTCTCGCTTTAGAACTTCTCTTGGTAGCTGATTCAGCTATAAGACTGCTGGGAGAGGGAAGAAATAATAAGTTACTCTCCTGAAATAATACATTAAAACAGGTTTTCTCTACTTTGCTAAAATAAACAACACGAAGAACTTACAACAACTTGCTTCGCTAAACCAGACGAGATATGAAACGTACATGAAAACACACACAATTCAAGACAAACGATGGAATAACAGTGATTGAAATTATCTGGTTTACTTAAATTGCAGTAATATGTACGTTTTTCTCCTGGGCCCCCAAACCTCAAAAACCTCATTCTGGAAAGAACCCAGTTAACAGTATGTGGTCTAAGTGGCCATAACCACAAAGTGCCTATTTGGCAGAAAACTCATAAGCAGATAGTCCTATCTTGGGAATCTTATTCCACATGCTTAACAGCATACCCAAGATCACTATTACCTCCTAACCCTTCCAAAATAACAACGTTCTCACCTCCCGATCCGGAGTCTGGGTCCAAATGAGAAAGCATTGGCAAGCGTTTCCACGCAGGGATAAGCACCCCCACGTCTTTCCAGCTTAGCTCTCCAAGCAGCTCTGGCAGTTATCGCACTAGAAACCTTGGACTCAGACTCCGACCACGCCCACTCCTCCCGGTCCACCCATGATCCCAAATCCCATTGGTCACCCGCATCAGGGTAGCCATGCAACTCCCGCCCCCACTCCGTAATTGGTGAGGGTAACCGCCGCTCCCAGCACGGCGGAGCTGGGCTCTCTCTCGGTCCACCGGCACCACCTGTTGCCCTTAAGTTAGAAAAGGCGGCGTTCTCGGAGGGAGCCGAGCAGCCGCTGCAGGTGAAGGGGAGCCTCGGGCGGTCAGGTCGCCGCCAGGCTGCCGGCTCCGTTCGGCCCGGCGCACCTGCAGCGCAGCCAGGGCGCCAAGCTGAGGCTCTCACATCCGGGGCCCGCAGTCACCGCCAACGCGTTAACCCTTTGTCCGCATGCCCGAGGGTGCCGGCTGTGACCGCGCGGGCCCCTGAGGTGCTAGAGATGAGACCTGGCGCGCCCGCTAGGGTAAGCCCACCTTCCCCGGAGCGGGATCCCTTCACCCTGCCCCTCCGCACACAATCGGCTCTTCTCCCTCGACAGGGCGTGGCCGCCGCGGCCGCCCACCCAGCCGCAGCTCACCTGACTAACCGTCCTTCCTTCGCTTCACTCAGCGTTTCTCCCAGCCGCTGGGGAGGCGCGCTGATACCTGTTCCCTGGCACCAGGAAGGCGTGGGCGATGGCGGAGGACTGGGCGCCTGGCGGGCGCCGCGCGCCAGGCTGCCCTAACGGTGCTCGCCCAGCAGCTCCACGCGACAGTCCCCGCCCCCTCCCGCGCGCCGCCCGGGCGCCGGCCTGTTGGGGGCGCGCAGGAGCCGCGTCTCCTAGCAACGCCAAAACAAGGTCGAGTTCGAATCGGCCTAGCGCTGGCTGCCCGCGAGGTCGGATGGGACTTCCGGCCTCACCCCTGAGCAACCTCACCCCAGTTGCTCCCGGTAGCCCTGTCTATGGCGGCCCGCCAGCCTGGCACGATTCCCCCCCACCCCCCGGCACGGCCTTTCCTCGGGGCGCCTAGGGCATCTGCGGGGCAGCAGCCAAGTGATGCGAGGTTAGGGATTCCGTAGTTCACGGGTTACGGGTGGTCCCGTATATATCGAGGTGACGTGGAGGTCCCCAAGTAGTTGGCCTTAAGCGGCCTGGGTTGGCTGGGCTGGTAACTGTGCCTTCCTTCGCTTTTTGTAGAGCAAGTGAACGCGCTCTCTCACGTGGTTCTAGCAGCATCCCTGGGAGCTGGCGACAGATAGAAATATTCCAGTTTGACACATAAGGAAATACACTCTGAAAGATGAAAGATGTTTCTTTTTTTCTTTTTCTTTCAAATTGCTCACACAATTTTAATTGCGATAATTTCCGATATACCATTCAACTAAACAATTTGCATATGCTGTAGTGAGACATGGGAGTAAGAGTATTTTGCTTGAGTGTCCAGTTCTCTTTAAAACCAGCGTTTGCAGTTAACGACTTGGAAAATACAACACAAAAAGCCATCTAGCCTTTTTTAAAAATCTCTATTTATCCCTTCAAAATTCCCTTTGTGGCCATATACATACTAGGTGGCTCTACCTGCAGAAAGCTGCATTTTCCAAGCAGCGAGAGAGTTTAATTCTTAACTTTCCTGTACTCCTGCCTCTGCTGGCTCCTTTGCATTTTTGTTTGCATCCTCTTCTTTGTCTTCTGTGCCTTTCGTTCTAGGTTAATCTGAGCAAGCTCTTCACTTTTGTCTGTGATGTATTTTATTAGTGAATTACTCCTTCTGGCTAAGAGCTTCACATCTTCAGTGTTAATGGTGGTTCTTTTCGCATGTCTTGCACACATTTCTAGATCTTGCACTGTCGAAAAGTCAGCTCCAAAATTGCTGCAATGATAAGTTTGCTGAACTGCATCTCTGCCCAATGCCACTTCCTCGCAAAGACAACCCACAGTGTAGTGCACTGCTGCTTCCTTTGGCCTCTGTTGGTAAGAAAATGGCTAAGAAAATCGCTGCTGCTCTTCCGCCTCCACTTCCTCCTTCATCAGAACGGGGAGGCAAACGCGCGGAAAGGAAAGGGGCTGTGGGGCAGCGGCCAGATTGGATTTTCCCTCCGCAGCCCTAAAGGGATGTTTCTAATGACCCAAGGAAAACTAGCGGTGGTCCTGGAACTGTTCATCTAAGTCTACTAGTCATCAAATGCAAAATGCTTTTCATTGGATGATTCTGACTAAATGTAGTTTTGTCTTTGATCAATAAGTTCACAAATATTTATTGAACACCTAATAGGCTGTAGACACAATTCTGTGTGCTTGGGGATAAAATGGTGAGGAAAACACACTGTCCCTGCCCTTGTGGAATATTGGAGTCTCTATGGATGAATAAATTTATAAAATGTTTTCAGCGGTAATTTCAGGGTTCTTATGACAACCTGCAAAAGAAGTAATGACTTAAAGTTGTAGGAAAGCTTTAGTCGACAAAACATCTTTTTGGTGAAGGCTGTAAGATTGTAACTTGGAAGAACCTATATGGTACACTTTTTTTAAATTGTCCTTTTTTTCTTTTTAAATATGGATTGGAGTTTCCTCAAGAAATATCATAGTTTTTCTCAAGACCACTATTGCCAGTGATACTTATTTCTTTTATGACTAGCACAGGAACGTGCATACTTGTCATACTGGATTCTTAAAGTCGAAAACAGCCTGGCCAACGTGGGGAAACCCCACCTCTACGAAAAATACAAAAAATTAGCCGGACGTGGTGGCAGGCACCTGTAATCACAGCTACTCAGGAGGCTGAAGCAGGAGAATCACTTGAATCCGGGAGGTGGAGGTTGCAGTGAGCCGAGTTCGCGCCATTGCACTCCAGCCTGTGCAACACGAGCGAAACTCCGTCTCAAAAAAGCAAAAAAACAAAACAAAGAAAAAAGCAACGTAAAATCCTAAGTTCTAAGCACAATGCATAATTTCAAGACAGCCACACTAATTTTGGGAATAAAACCTAGAAACATCAAATGGCATATTCTGTAAACATTAATCTATTATAAACTAAGGATTGCCTGATTAGTTATAATTGTGAAATCTCATTAGCCATTCACATAATCAAATAATTGATAAAGGGCTTAGTGCAATACCCTATTTCCTTTTCTTGGAAATTCAACAGGGATTCTTTATTAAACTGGAATAACTTGCAGATCCTCCTTAAGTCAAGAATTTAGAGCAAGAAAATTCTATGGCCACCCGCTGTTTACAGTAGTTTTGAAATCAGTAGGCCCTTCCAGTATTCCTTGCATAGTCTTCCCTGGAGCAAAAAGGGAAAAAAGGAAAACAAAAACACTGAGGGCTTCCAATCGTGCAGAATCGCCCTTAGTGAATTGCACTTTCATGTTATACTCTAGGTTTTAAAACTACAGTAGTCATTGGCAAACTGCAGCCTGTAGGTCAAATTCAGGAGATAAGAATGGTTTTTACATGTCTAAAGGCTGCAAGAGAATGAATAAGAAAAGAATGTGCAATCAAGATAATCTATGCCCCCTCCCCCCCACAACACACACATACAAAATAAATGTGCTCTCTGCTTCTGTAGAAAAATGTTTGGTATACCTGTTCTCTCTCTCTATATATATATATACATACACCATATGAAAACAACAAATGATACTAAAAGCAATGGAATTTGTGGAACACAAAGTTCACTTTGTTTCATGATCTTATAGAAGACCCATTCAGAGATTTTACTTATATTCTATGCCAGAAAAAAATCCCTTTAGGCTGTAGCTTGTAAACAGTGCTTCAGTGCCCTGGGGTGCCTCGGAATTCCTAGGGGTTCTGTGGGATAGTTTAACTTTTTGAGGGAAACACAGTGACATCTGTTGGACCATATTAATAACTACAAATATCAAGTTTGGATCTATCAATTTCATAAATAGAAAGGTTGAGTATTTATTTTGGCCTGAGGTACCATTAAAAAATTACTGAGGCACTAGGGCTTCTGGGAACCTCGCCTTTAATTATGGTTTTCCAAACTTGGCTAATGATGAGAAAGAATCACCTGTTAATGCTTGTAAATGTATAGATTCCTGGTTCCTCCTGTTCAGACCCCCCAAATCAGAATCATCAGGAGAGGAGTCAGTGATCTGTATTTTAAGTATTTCAGATAATTAATGATTAGACACTTAGAAGAAATACTAATCATAAGAAATGGGTATGTTTTCTCCTTTTAAATAACTACAACTAAGTAATTTACTTTGATTCTCTTTTTGAATTAAATATCAGGACCCATATCAAATCTGATGCCTGTGTTCTCACTTTTAAGTAGAAGCTAAACAATGGATACACATAGACATACAGAGTGGAATCATAGACATTGGTGACTTCAAAAGGTGAAACGGTGGGAGAAGGGTGAGGTGGGAGAAGGGTGAGGGATGGGTACACTAAATGCCCAGACTTCACCACTACACGATATATCCATGTAACACAACTGCACTTATACCCCCCGAATCTATGAAAATAATAATTAAAAATCAGATGCATGTGGCATTCTTCTTCTCTTCCATAGCCTGATTTTTTATGATACACATAAGTTAAGCATGCACATACTGAAATAGTGTCTTTCCTTACCTTTGTCACAGCATGTGTATGTGTGTGTATGTGTATAGATAATATAGATGTATATGTTTAGGGTACCTCACTTTAGTTGTTTCCATGCATATTTATTATGAGAATAATAGAGAATTTATTAGAGAATTATTGAGAGGGATATAAACATTGATTCCCTTGTATCACTTTATTATCATGCTTGCTAAACACATGGCCTTCCTCTTTTAGTTCCTGTTTTGGTTGACGGCAATTTATTCAGTAGTCCCAAGTGGAAATTTCAGGGCCATTTAAAAAATTCTCCTATATCCCACTTATGATTAGCTATCAAGCTCCCTTTAGTTCATGTTTTTCCGTTCCTATTTCCACTACTTGCATCTGGTTTTTGTGACCTCTCACCTATACTAATTTACCTCCTAACTGATTTTTCAGCTAAAAAGCAGTGGAGCAGGAGTTTGTTTCCTGTGTCTGGCTCGAAGTCTCTTAACAACTGTATTCTAGGGAGTTCACATTTAGGTTAATTCATTGTGATCCATGGCAGCATAGAGCCAGGGTACGATTTTTGATAAAACTTTAAAAAGAGGATGTCAGAAGGGAAGTACAACCCAAAATTCACTTGAAATGGGTCCTAGATAAGAGTTTTCAGAGTCCACAAGTCTAAACCCTCCTCCTGAACTTCTCTTATGGACAGCTTCAAGGTCTAGCTCCACCCAGTTCCAAGTCACAGGACAGTTTGCCCCTTCCTCTGGAAAAGCCTTCACATGCTTCTCCATACCTGAGTGCAGGTCCAACTGGCAAGAAGCCCGGTGGTAAAAAGGCATCATGCCACACTACAAGAGGCAGATCCAAAGTTAAGAAATAGGGACCTAGAAAGTGAGTCTTGTGTAGTGTGGCATGATGCCTTTTTACCACTGGGCCTCAGAAGTCAAAGCATAAGAAGTGAGATGTGAAAGGAAAGCAGCTTTTTTTCAAATGCTGACAGGTGGAAGAATGGCTGGGCTCAGGCCTCAAAGGAACCATCTCTAGCTTTAGGCTGGGGAAAGGAGTTTTAAAAGGGGAACTTGGAATGGAGGCATGTGGGAGTGGTGCTGAGTACAAGGTCTATGTGTCTTGTTCTGGTGGCTATCTTGAGTCATGGTCTACCTGGAGTGCAGGTTGGCATCAGAGTCTCAACAATGGCCAGGTTGTAGATTAACCACCTTGAGGTGATCTCTGGAATTTCACAACTGGGTCTTTGTGTCTAGTTTGTTTTAAGATTAGGCCCTGGGGCTGGGGTTGGTGGCTCACGCCTGTAATCCCAGCACTTTGGGAGGCCAAGGCGGA